CAGGAAACCTGGGTCTTGAAGGAAGGCGCTGGTATAGCCTAAACCCAGGGAACCTCTCACGGCCCGTTCCGCCTTGGTCCTTTCCTAATGTATCTCCAGACAAGGATCCCCATCTAAGGCCAGAAAACAGGCTTGGCTTTCCCTTCCCTCAGAGCAGTGTTGATGGCTCCCATGCTGAATGAAAACGCCCCTTTGAATCTATTCCTATTTGTTCTCCAGGACACTTGTAGTTTGTCCCTCCTGCCCTCATAGGTGGTTCGAGGATGCTCATGGCTTTGCTTTGTCTTGGAGAAGGGAATCCTGGAGATGGATTACCTGAGAAAGTTACAGCAAATAGGGAGTTCATGTTCCCCTCTCCATTCCTCAGCAGCTGCTGCAGAAGCTCACAATGACCTTCTCCCCACAGGCTCACAGTGCACAGTGAACCTGGCCGTATCCTATCTCTGGACAGCTGCAGTGTCTGCCCTTTAGAGAAGACCCCTGGAATCGGACCAGTTTTCATGGCCTCCTCCTTTCCTGTTACATTGCCCTTTCCAGACCTTAAGAAAAGCATCAGGAAGTGGATCCCAGAGTGTGAGTGGCACACTCTCCTGTGAACTCATCCTCACCATGTTCACCATATCTGCAACGGTGGCAGCGGGGAAGCCTTACATGTGCGGCGAGTGTGGCAAGAGCTTCTGCTACAGCTCAGTGCTGCTGCGACATGAACGATCTCACGGCGGCGACGGCCACTTCCATTGCCTAGAATGCGGCGAGCCCTGCGCAGGGGCTGCCGACCTCCAAGCGCACAGGCGCAGCCATGCTGGCCAGACCCTCTACATCTGCAGTGAGTGCGGCCAAAGCTTCCGCCACAGCAGCCGCCTTGACCTACACTTGGGCGCACACCGGCAGCGTGGCCGTTCATGCCTCTGCCGTACGTGCGGCCGCCGCTTCCCGCATCTCCCGGCGCTGCTACTGCACCGCCGCCGGCATCATCTGCCAGAGCGGCCCCGCCGCTGCCCCCTGTGTGCTCGCACCTTCCGACAGAGTGCTCTGAGCTTCCACCAGGCGCGGGTGCACCGCCCGGGGACAAACTCTGACCCTGCTGGCCCACGCCACCGTTGCGCGCAGTGCCCGCGAGCCTTCCAAAGCGGTGCCGGGCTGCGGAGTCACACGCGCATCCACGTGTCCCGGAGCCCCAGGCGACCCCGTGCCTCAGATGCCCACCAGTGTGGCGTGTGCGGCAAGAGCTTTGGCAAGAACTCTACGCTGACACGACACCTGCAGACGCACTCAGGGGAGAAACCCTTCAAGTGCCCGGAGTGTGGCAAGGGCTTCCTGGAGAGTGCCACGCTGGTGCGCCACCAGCGCACACACACGGGCGAGAAGCCATATGCATGTGGCGACTGCGGACGCTGCTTCAGCGAGAGTTCCACGCTGCTGCGCCACCGGCGCAGCCACCAGGGCGAGCGGCCACATGCGTGCCCCACTTGCGGCAAGGGTTTTGGGCAGCGCTCCGACCTGGTGGTGCACCAGCGCATCCACACGGGCGAGAAGCCCTTCCCGTGCCCAGAGTGCAGCCGCCGCTTCAGCGACCGCTCAGACCTCACCAAACACCGGCGCACGCACACAGGCGAGAAGCCCTACCGCTGCGAACTGTGCGGTAAGCGGTTCACGTGCGTGTCCAATCTCAACGTTCATCGGCGCAACCATGCCGGCCACAAGCCACACAAATGTCCCGAGTGCGGCAAGGCCTTCAGCGTCGCCTCTAAGCTTGCGCTCCACCGCAAGACGCACCTGGGAGAACGGCCAGCGGAGTGCGCAGAGTGTGGCAAGTGCTTCAGCCACAGCCGCTCGCTGTCGCAGCATCAGCGGGCCCACACGCGCGCCCGCGCTGCTGCCGCAGCTGCTGCTGTTGCCGCTGTTGCCATCCAGGCCGCAGTAGGCGCTGCCCTCGCCTTAGAGGGGGCGGCTGAACAAGAAAGGTCAGGGTTCTTTGTGTCCTAGTTGAGGGAGGCTTGCTGAGGCTTCTCTAAAGGTGGTTAGGCAAGCACCTAGATAGCATCACAGGGACCGGTGAGGCAACTTGCAGACGGAGGTTTGGGAAGAGCATGTGGCCTCCTGCCTTTCCAATTTCCGTCGGCAGCCATTCATTTGGCCTCCTGCCTCACCTCTACACCTACTTCCCTCTCAACTCTTTTGCCATCCTGTCCTCGTATAACTTGGCATCTCTCCTAAGGTGTAGGTGCAGAGAGGGAAACCTTGACTCCCCTGTGTGCAAGAGCCCAGGTATTGGTGTGTCCCATTAATGCTACTGTGCTTGCTGGTGTTTCTGATCTTCCTGCCTTTGTCCTATCTTCTCTTGCCCCATCTCCTTATTCCAGCCTGCATCTCTTCTGCTTCTCCTTTCCTGATTACTTTTGTTGTCCTGCCTGAGTGATGGCCACAAATTTGGCTGTAGTTACATATCACTAGTCCTGTGGTCTTGTCTCCATGCCGGTGCTGCCTGCTCCCTGGTGGCCACCACATGAAGGTAGACAGGGTCCTCGGCATGTGTCCCCAGGGCAGATCAAGGCGTGTCACAGGACAATGTTCCCTAGCCAGGTGGACATTTTTGCTGAGACCCAGGCCAAAACCATGTGGGTCCACAAAGCCAGGAATGCCAAGTGGAGCACGAGTTTATTTCCAAATTATGGGAACCATAGGGAAATAGGTTCCACTACAGGGAGGGGGCAGGATGGAAAATCCCCTTGAACTGGTTAACAACTTTTTGCTAATGGCTAGTGAAATAAAGTTGTTTATTTGGGTTCTACATGCCATGCGCCCCCTTTGTCAAACCTAAGGTTGCTGACCAGAGTTTGGAAGTGATCCAAGAGCAGGTCCATTCAGTTCCAAGGTCTCTTGTACCTTCCCAGGGCAGCTCAGTGATCTTACATAGAGGACTGCTTGATTCCACACTAAAAGGTGAGACAAGGCCTACACATTGGGTTTTCTCTGCTGATGCAAGTACAAGATGGCCCAGGTCATATGCCTCTATTTCTGCTCCAGCTAGTCCGCCAGGAGTGACCCAGCACTCTCCAGACTATCTCTGCCGGCTCTATTTGAGTGTAAGAGTGAGTGTTTTACTCCACAGGAAAGGGCTGCAAAGTGTCAAAGTGAGTCTGGAAAGGCTCAGAGGTGAGGGCCTGCAGAGACAGAAACAGGGCTTCCATCTAAGCTGCATTCTGGTACATGCTTTCAGAGGGATCCAGGGTTTCTGAGCCTCAGGTGCCAAAACACTCATTCTGCCCATACATGCCCATGTTACATACTCTGTTTATTTGTCCTTTAGGAAGACTAAAGTAGTCCGGCTCCCCTGCAGTCCAGTCTTGCCCCCGCCCTGCACTCTGCATTCTGTCGCCTTTGTTCCTGGGGACCAAGCATCTGGTGTTTCTCAGCAGACTCTCTTCATTGCTCCTTTTCAGTCTCTGGAGTCTGGCTCCCGAGAGCCAAAGCTGGAGAGCTCATTGCTGAGGGGGCAGGGTTGGAGCCGGAGGAGATGCAAAGGACATGGACCCCTCGCTGGATCCCAGAGGCCCAGGGGCAGAGCTGCTGGGACAGGGCTCTAGGGGGCCACTGGGTGACTCTTGAGGCGCTAAGAGCAGGGTAGGGTGACTTTTGCTACAGTGAGCTGCAACACTGTCTGGCTTCTCAAAGCGCTTGCCGCAGAATTCACAGGGGAAGCGCAAGGCAGCCACTGTCTCTGCGTGCTTGCGCTGGTGCCAGTTCAGGGAGGCCTTCTGGCGGCAGGTGAATCCGCATATCTCACACCTGGAGCCAGGGACAGAGGAGGGAAGGCACAGGCCTCAGGCCATCCTGACTTCCCTAGGGGGTTCCTCCTGCTCCCTGTGGCCTAGGTGTCCTGTATGCCTAGCTTCCCGACTCCTCCTCCTCCCTTCTGCCCCCTGCCCCACAGACCCCCACCCCAGCACTCACTGCAGGGGTTTTTCTCCAGTGTGGATACGTCTGTGGATGACAAGGTTGCTGCTAGTGCGGAAAGACCGGGCGCAGAACTCACAGATGTAGTCCCGGGTGTCTGCAGGCACAGGAGGGGCACTCCAGCATCTGTGCCCACCCTGTGGCCCCTCCTTGGCCCACCTCCCCAACTGTCCCTCATAGGAGTGCACCGGTGTTGGAGGTCAGGAGGCTCAAGTTCTAATCAGTTGTTATCCAAGTCATGGAGCCCGTCTGGACCTCTCTTACTTGATCAGTCATGACCACCAAGTAAGATACGAACCCAGCTAAAAGACTTCATTATTGTTCACCCTACCCCTGCCCGCCAATCCCACTCAAACCAATGAACTCCCAGTGGAGGTGCACTACCCCACCTCCGAGCCTCTAGCCTGGTTCTTTCTCAGAGGAAACACATGGAATGGAGAGCTGGGTCCTTAGTCTGAATTGAAGGCACTAGGCAGCAGCCCCAAGCAGAAGCTTGGAGTCAGTGATGGGAATTATGATTGAAGCTCAAGGCCCCATGACAGTCCCTGGCACCTGGAGTCACCTACCACCCGTTCAGGCTTGCATATCCCAGCTGTAGCAGACCCTATCAGGGCGCTGTGGAACTACCTGTCTGCAGGCAGCCAATCCCCTCTCCTCTTTTTCCCTGAACCTGCCCTCCGTGCTTGTTCCAATAGCACCTGCCTGTTGCCCAACTGTCACTGTGGTGCCAGCAGCTCCCACAGGCTGCTGTGGTTTTTCTAACCCACCAAACCTCACAGCCTGCAGTAGAGAAGGTGTGTGTGCTTTTCACGATGCCCTTTAGACCACCTCTCTGAAGACCCCATCATCAGACCATACACACACACATACCTGCAGCCTCCCCCTTGGTTCCCATCACTCCCCGCCATCCACTCCTGTCAGCCGCCACAACTGCCGACTGTTCCCTGACCTCACTGACCTCACTGCTAACCCTCCTCAGCCACCAGTCTCAGGTCACACCCGCACGCTGCACCGCCTCAGAAACTGCAATTTCTTCTAAGATGCAGTAGATTAGGGGGAGAAAAAAGGAAATTGTGATTTCAAGCATCCTGCTTCCTGCAGGGCCTCCTTCCTTGTCCTCTTGCTATGATAATCCCATGATGAGGCCACTCTACTGGCCCTCCCATCTTCCCTCTGAGCCCAGCCCCGCTCAGCTGCATTTCCACAGCCATCTTTGTTGCCTTCTTTCATTCACACTACCAATCTTCCTGTCCCTCTCTCCATCCACTGTACTTGCTTGGTTAAAGCCCAACTCAGGATAAACATAACTTTTGGTCTGCTCCAGGCTTGCATGTGTGTACAGAAGGGGGAAAGTCTTCTCCACCACCCTTTTCATCTATAACCACAAGTCTTAAGGCCCTTCCTGCCCTACTGCGCCTGCATTTCCCTCATCAGTTCACTTTTCCAACTTTCTAGAAATATAAAAGACATTTCACACCACCTCCTTTCTCCACCAGTCTGCAACACCCCCCGCCTACCTTACTCAGCAGTGCTCTTGTTTTTAAAGTTGCTAAGAAACTAGAACACCCACATCTTCTGCCCACCAAATCCACTATTCAACTTGCATCTGTGCCCATATAAATGACTACTCAAACGGCCTACCCTGTGGCAGCTCCCCACTCTGCCCCTAAAGACCAGCTCCTCACTTGAGGTCTCCCACCGCACTCCAGCCTCAGCAGCAAGCCGTTCTCTATGGAATCATTTCCATCTCTGCACCCTGAGCCCAGCCTTCTAGCTGACACTCCATTTATCTGCCCGTCTTACAGCAAAACTCCACAGAGTTGTCCATACTTGTGTCTCCACTCCGCCTTGAGCGCGCTCCATTGCGACTATCAGACCGACAGCTACACTGCCCCTCCTGTCAGTTCCATCTTGTCATCTGGCAGCTTCCCTACTGCCAGATCTGGTGGCGTGTTCTCAACTTACTTTATTTGGCCTGTTGCACTGGCAATCATTGCCCCTTCCTCCCTGGAGCATTTTCTATACTCAGCTCCTCAAATAGCACTCTCTTCATCTTCCTCACCACGTACCTGGCCTGCCCTCTAATGAATGGCTAGAGTGCCATGATACATACTCCCTCTATGTAGGGACACTCTGGCCCCACGGCTCTAAATACCACCCATATGCTCATGACAAACACATTTATATTTATAGGTTTGCCTGACATCTACCCTAATCTCCACATTCACATCTCCTGGATGTTTAATTAGCATGTCTCAAATCAAATTTCCCTGCCCAAGCCCGCTTCTCCCTTGCTTTCAGGAAATCGCATCACCTGCTGCATAGCTGCTCAGGCTAGAATCCTCCGAGTTACCCAGCTCCTCCCTGCCCACTCATCTGTAGCCAACCCATCCTTCCCACAACACCCCATTGACTCCATCTGCGCACACACTGGCCTCCAGCCATTCCTCACCGACTCAACTGCTACCAGCAAATCCAGGCACCACCTTGCCTTGCATGTTTCTGCAGTCACCTCACAGCTGATGCCTGGTGCTGCTCATCTGAGGTCCCCCTGTTCTTCACACAGCTGCCACAGTCATCTTTTAAAAAGTCAGCCATGTCCCTCTGCCATTCAAGACTGCAATGGCACCCATCTCACCTGAAGCAGATGTCAGACTGTCCTATGGATGGTCTCAGAGGCCTCCACCAACTATGTGACCTCTCTCCTTTCTCAGCTCCTGGCTTCTTCCCTATTCCTGGAACATGTCACCCAGTTACCACCTAAAGGCCTGCCCACAGGCACTGCCCATAGTCTGTAAGGTACAGGTGTCCATTCCTCACTTCACTCAGGTCTTTGCTGAGGCATCTTCTCCTCCTCCAACAGCAGTTCCTCCTTATGCTTTCCTTTCCCTTGCTTCCACATTTCTTCACAGCCCTGTATCACTAAAGTGGGTGTCTCAAGAGGGTCAGCGCTGCTTGCACTGTTCATTGCTGTACCCAGTACCCAGAACAGTCTAAAGCAAGCAGGTGCTCAACACACAGGGCATGCAGGATGAGTCAGAGTTGTCCCTCAGAAGGAACTGAAGAAACCCAAAGAGTGGGAGGTGACGAAATCTATAGAGCAGGGATGATGGGACCCATAGAGGAATGTAAAAGGTCCCACACAGAAAGGTGGAGTTCCTCCACTCACCACTGTGCAGCTTCATGTGCTCCTTCAGGTGTTTCTTAAAGTTGAAGGACTTCCCACAGGCTGGCTCTGGGCAGGAGAAAGACTTCTGGTGGATGTGTTGGTACTTTTTGTGGTGCTAGAGAAGGAAGTAGGTGGTAGGGAGAGAAGAGGCAAAAGAATAGCCTTCCACAGGGAGACCAACTGAGCTGAACCAGTAGGCATGCTCCTCTGTCCCCTCCCTGGGCCCCAGCAGCTCTCCCTGTCATAGCCTGCTCATCTCCTTAAGGCTCAGTCCTCACCTAGACCATGAGAACCACACCCATCCCATCCTGACCATTCAGCTCTCCCGTCACCCTGTTCTGTGGATGACGTCTGTTATCTCACCTCCTTGTCACAGTCTCACCCTGCAGTGTCCTGCAGTGTTCCCTGTACAAAGTATCACTCTGGGTGATACCCCTGGTTCACCTAATCATGAATGCACTATCTACTGGGGAGGCGAAAGTCGTTCGCATAAGTATGATTATCCTTTTTGACATCAGTATTCAGGTACAACAGTATCTCTCCCACACACACACATGCTATCAACCTAAAACACTGTTAAGGGTAACAGACTTTTCACCTTAACTCCTTAATATCGAAGTACCTCTCTTTTCACCTGACCTAACTTGACATCCCGGCTCACTGAACTGCATGGGCTATCCCCTTCTTCAGAATCCCATTTTTCCACAGTTAAACTTCCAGGGGCTGCACCAGTCTCTTCCATAACAGACTCCAGAATGTCTGGCATGCCCTGCTGAATGCTCTCTTTAGCCCAGAGCTTCACTGTCATCACGGGCCATTTTCCCTTTTCACTGGATTCCTCTCTCTCTCATCTGTGGGCAGAATTCTCCTGTCTATCTACCCACACCTCACCATCCCAGTGTCTGTAGCCCTCCCCAGCCTTGGTACCTGCTGTGCCAAGGGCTCTGGCTGACTGTGGGGATTGGACCCTTCCCCTTCTGTGCCTCTGATTGGGGACAGGACCATCTCCCAGCCCTTTACACTCTAGGAGTACCTTCTCAAGCCAGGATATGAGGCAGCCCAGGCATGGACTCTGAAGCCAGGCCACCAGGCTCAGAACCCCAGCACTAACACATACTAGCTCAAGAGCCTTGACCAATGCCTAACCTTTCTGTCTGCAAAGTGGGAATAGTATCAGCACCTAAGCCGTAGGGATGTTGTGAGGACCAAAAGACTTTATACATGTCAACTGCCCAGAACTGTCATTAGCACCCCCAGGGGAACCTGATCCATGCCACTGTTATCTCTGTGGGGTCCACCATGGAACAAGCAGTAGAGGGCAGTGCTCTGTGCACCTGAGGCATGGTTTCATCTATCAGTGGTCTGATTTTTTTTGTTTTGGTTTAGTTTTTTCTGAGATGGAGTTTCATTCTTGTTGCAGAGGCTAGAGTACAATGGCACGATCTTGGCTCACTGCAACCTCTACCTCCCAGGTTCAAGCGATTCTTCTGCCTTAGCTTCCCAAGTAGCTGGGATTATAGGCATGCACTACCATGCCCAGCTAATTTTTTGTATTTTTAGTAGAGATAGGATTTCTCCATGTTGGTCAGGCTGGTCCCGAACCCCCGACCTAGGTGATCCACCCGCCTCAGCCTTTGAAAGTACTGGGACTACAGGTGTGAGCCCCTGCATTCAGCCGTCTGGTTTAATGATGATTAATTATAGGAGAACTCTGCACTTCTATCCTAATCCTCTGCTTCCTGGTTCTGAATCCTCCCATGCCTTAGGATCCTTTTCCTTAGTTCTCTTTCAGCCCTTTTCCCCCACCCCAGCAGCCACACAGGCCCCAACCTGTGCCCCTTACATTCAAATACTGCCGGTTCGAGAAGATCCTTCCACAGCCAGGGAAGTCACAAGGCATCAGCTCTCTTTTGGCAGCTTTCCTGGGAAGGAGAATGGAGAAGAGCAGGACAACTCCTGCCTCCCCTTCTCTGCCTCCCTCCTCTCTGCCCTCCTCAGAACCCCATCTCCCCAAGTCCTACCTAATTCTCTTGGGGCCAATCTGTGAAGTGTCCTCATCCCAGGCCGGGGTTGGAGCAGACTGGGCCAGACTCCCAGTGCTACGGGCAGCAAAGAGGGAGCAGAGGGCCTCGAGGGAGGGCCACATCCCAGGACGCCCCTGCCCTTTCTGTCTCAGCCATCAGGTTACCTGGCCAGGGGTTCGGCCTGCTGGGCCGCTTGAAGGGTCCTGCTGAGCTCTGGCTGCACCTCGACTTCTGCAGGTGGAGGAGCTCTGGATCCCAATGAGGATACTGACAAGGATGGCACAGCAAGAGGAGTGGAGAGTGCTGCAGGGGCTGGTGGTGTTTCCCCGTTTGTAGATGTGCAGGTGACAGGGGAAGGGGGTAGTCTGGGGGCGTCAGGCTCACTACTGAAAGAAGAACAAAGAGGATGATGGCATTATCTCTCAGCAGCCAGCCAGCCCCAGCCCGACACTAGCTCCTAAATCGAAGATCTCAAACTTGAATCAACCCTACCCCCACCTTAGGCTCCCCATTCATACCTGCTTTCAGCCCTCAATCTCCCTGCGCCTGACTTCACCCCTTTTCACTCCCTCAGTTCAAAGCCTCTAGTTCTTTTTGCTTTCCCCAAAACCCACCCTTCCCTCCACACCAACAAGCCCTTCCCTCTAGTCTGCAAAGCCTTGAACTGCCAGGCCAGGTGGCTCCTCCCTCTCTTGCTCTGCTCAGCATTCCCCCTCAACCCCAACTTGCTCATCTGGGGAGGAGCTGTAGGTCCATAAGCTGGCATCACTGAGCATCTCCTCTTCATCCTCATCATCGTCCTCTTCTTCCTCACCCTCTTCCTCTCCTGGAGGTGGGAAGGTCTCTGGTGGGGGTCCCACCCTCCTGCAGGCCAAAAGAAGACAAGGTCTTGCTCCCTCATCCTCCCATCCATGCAGTTCTGCCCTTTCCCTCCTACCTCCATCCTCACCTGGGCAACCTGGCCTCTTGAGTCCTCTTATCATGCTCAGATTCCAAATCTGTGGGATAGGCAGAGTCAAAAGGGAAGGAACTCTGGACTTGAGGGATGAGGACACGTAAAGTTCTGAGGTCTGAAGTGATGGGAGACTCTTCTTTTTTTTTTCTAAATAGATACTGGGTCTCACTATGTTACCCAGGCTGGTCTCAAAGTCCTAGGCTCAAGCGGTCCTCTTTCCTTGGCCTCCCAAAGTACTAGGATTATAGGCGTGAGCCGCTGCACCCAGCCAGAGGCTTTTAAGGAGGAGGAGGAGGGAGCAGAGGCTATTGGAGTAGGAGAGGTTTTTCTGTTTCAGAGATGATATTCACATAGTTCACAAAACTATCCATTTAAAAATCTCCTTTCCATTACTGTTCCCCATCACATGCTTCTTCCCACAGGCAACCTGGTTTCCTATGTGCCTTCCAGAAATGCTCTACATTCACAAGTATACACACATACACACACACGCGTGCGCGACGGCAATTTTCCCCTTATTTGTATTTTTCACCAATGACGTCATACCATACACCCTATTTTGTTTTGCTTTTCATGCCCAACAATGTAATGTATTTGATGATATATTTCTTTGTCAACATAAAGTTTTTCAATAGAAAATGGATCACTTTTAGAGAACAGCGTACTGAGCTAGAGAAAATGGGAAACCTTTTTCCTCCCTTTTCTCCACAACGCTGCTCTTTCCCAGCCTACCTGCAAGCTCCTGCCCACTTGTGGCGTCGGGACACCAACTTCTCCAGGTAGTATGTGGAAGGGAGGATGGCTTGAGTGCCTCTGAAGATGTAGGGCTCAAAGAGGGTCCCCAGGAGAAGGTATGGCCTGCTGAGCACTCCCACACAAGCCCCCCATCTTGGCTGCCAGGCCCCCGAAGACCGGGCACCAGGCTGCACTCTCTGCTGTGGGCATGAGACAAGAGCACCAGATACTGCAGACCTTTTGGAGGCAAAGGCTCAGGACCTGGAGGGGTGGGGGAAGCCGTCAGGCTGAACTGAGAAGTCTCCTCTGCTCACCCAGAGCCCTGTTCTCTCAAACCCCAGGGCAATCTCAGCCACAGTCCAGTGTATCATTCTTCAGAACCTAGACACACTGGGTCGAGACTTTGCTCCCTTCCCCACCAAGAGGTTGCCCCCATCAAACTGCCCTGTGTTCCCCAACTCACCCCACCCTTCTCACACTCACTCAGGGCTCCCTCTGATGCAACCCTCCTTGAGGAGGGTGTTTCTAGGTCACCCTGTGGCCCCTCTTCCCTCTGGCTGTCATCCCCTGCCATCCCCTACCTACCTGCACAGAGGACACAGCCCGAAGAAGTGTACCTGCCAGCAGGAGAAGAGGCAGGTCAGGGCCCGGGGGGGGGGGGGCCAGCCACCCTCAGCCCTGGGCACTCACACATGGGAGGGGCCAGCCCTAAGGGCCGGCTATTTGCTGAGACCATGAGGAGGGGAGCAGGACCCCAGTGGGGCCACGAGTCACACATGCCGTCCTGCTAAAGTGGGAAAGAGCAGCATGACAGGCCCTGGAGTGGGATTAGGGGCTGCTGCCTGGGTGCCCTCCCCCCAGCCCCTCTCCCGACCCCTAACCGGTCCAACAGGAACTTGGCGAGCTGCGAGTGCAGGGAGAAGCCCAGCCGCTCCTTGAGGAGGCACCACTGCTCCATGTGCCCGCCCAGCCGGATGCGGCACTTGCTGCGGTGCGCGTCCAGCTGCCGCCGCTTCTCCCGCCGCCTGCAGGACACGTCCCCCGCCGGGGAGGAAGCCATGTGCACCAGCGCCTGGAGGGGGGAGGAGACGTCTCCAGTGCCCAGCCCATCTTGGGGGTCGGGGACCCGGGCTCCACCTGTCGCTGGGGCCTCAGTTTCCTCATCGGCGAATTGGGGCAAGACTAAACTATTTCAATAGCGGCGGCAGGTGTGGAGCCAAACCTCCCGTCCTTCTGTGATTCGGGGTGTGGAAGCTCCGCACTGCGTGTGGGTGTCGTCGGGTGCGAGGTGGGCAGACAGTGGCAGTCAGAACAAAGGCCTTCGCCCTGCAGCCCCTGAAGTGGAGCCGTGGGGAAGCGGCCACAGACTCCCACGGGAAATTTCAACCGGGCTGGGGGGGTCCACACATGTCATCTTGAAGAGGGCGGCGGCCTTTACTGGTTTACAGGGAAGGAAAGGTCGTGTCCTGGGGTGCAGCTGGGGGCGCTCTTAGTTGGGTTGACGGGAGGTGGGGCGGGGGTCAGAGGTCTGGAGGGCGCCCCCACTGTCTTGGGCACCCCCACTTAACTCTGACAGTGAGTGGAGCGGACCGATCCCAGTGACAGCTCCCCAGAGCCCCCGTGGCGACCCACCCCCACCCGGCCTTACCTGTGCGCCACCACGCGCCCTCACCCCGACTGCGCCTGCGCTTCCCCGGCCTAGCGAGCAGGCCCGGAGCTCCGGGAAGACAGGGGCCCACCTCGCGAGCGCAGCCGTCGTTTCTCTTTTAAGAGGAAACCGTGCCTCTGGGCGGCGGCGGCGGCTCTAGCCCGGAAATGGGGCCCGGGCCCCGGAGGGAGGGGAGAGGCGGCGTGCGCTTGCGCACTGGGTGCCCCGCGCAACGCCTGCCGGGAACCGTGGTTCCCCGATCCGAGTCGCTCGCGCGTGTCGTGCAGCCTCGCCGGAGTCGTGCAGTCGTGGTTGGGTCGCTTCTGTGGTGAGCGTCTGCGCTTGGCAACCAAAGGTTTGGGGGAAAGTGGAAGGGACAGGGTCAGGCCTCCTGAGCTCCAAGCGCAGCCCGCCCTGTTTGCGGACGTGGCCTCTTCACTTGTCCCGTTTTGTAGTCACCTGCGATTTCCCCCTCACAGTGTCCACCCGCAGACATGATGCAGAAGCAGCCGCTTTGAAAGCCAGCCGGAGCCCTCTCGGGACCGCGGATTCCCGCCAGCTACAGCCCGCTTCTATTGGCATCAGAATTATTGCTAAAAGTTGCCTACGTTCTCTGCGGACTCTCGCTTCCCACCCCCTACTCTTCAGGTTGCTCTGACGGAACTTTCCTGCCCACCCAGCCCCTGCCGTGGCTCTTCGCAAGGTCGCTGGCGACGGTCGTGTTGCTGCATAGCAGCTGTCAGTTCTCTGCCTCTCTGCCCTAACAGAGTGCGACTAAGTAGCTCTCTTCTTCCTCATCCTCATGGCTCCCTCTACGTTTTTTTGGCCCCAGTTTTACTTCTGTGACGTCATATGCTCCTGATTTTCCACCCGCCTCACTGGCTTCTTTGCTTTTTTGGGTCCATCCCCTCTGTTCTGCCAAAAGATGAAGTGTGCCCTGGCTTAGGCCTTGAACCAGCTCTTCTCTCGTCTGGATATGTTCTCTTGGGTGATCTAATCGGTTCCCTGGCTTTAAAAACACTGATGGCTCCTAGCCTAGCCCTCTTTCAACTCCAGTCATGTATCTTACTACGCACTTAGCAGGGCTAACTAAGCTAACACACGTAAAGAATTTAGGACAGTGCCTGGCATGTAGAGAGCATTGACACATGATAGCTGCTATTTTCTCCAGCATAACTATGACAAATGCATAACAATATCTGTTCCCTCCCCGTCTAAGTAAACGATGTCGTTGCCCACCCCCTTGCTCAGAAAAAAGGGAATCACACTTGATTCTTTGCCCTTTATGACACCTAAACCATATACATCAGCAAATCCTGTTGGTTCTGTCTCCAAAAATTTATCTTAAATCCAGTCACTTCAGACACTTTGAAATGCTAAAACCCTACTCCAAGCCACCTGTATTAATTTTTTGTGATTGTTGTAACAAATTTTGTGTGTTGTTTTCAGCCACAAACTTGCTCCCTTTACTCAAATGTATTTTCCCACAGTTCTGGAGAAAGTTTGTTTTCAGCCAAAAATTTGTTCCCTTTACTCAAATGTATTTTCTCACAGTTCGGGAGGCCAAAAATCCAGGTCATCTGTAAGGGCTCTAGGGGAGAATCCTTGCCTTGCTTCTTCTGGCTTCTTTTTTGTTTTTGAGACGGAGTTTCGCTCGTTACCCAGGCTGGAGTGCAATGGCACGATCTCGGCTCACGGCAACCTCCGCCTCCTGGGTTCAGGCAATTCTCCTGCCTCAGCCTCCCGAGTAGCTGGGATTACAGGCGTGAGCCACCGTGCCCGGCCCTCTTCTGGCTTCTAATGGTGGCCAGCATTCCTGACCTGTGGCCACATCACTCTAATCTCTGTCTCTGAGGTCACATTGTCTCCTTCTGTGTCAAATCTCTCTCTGCTTCTCTCTTACAAGGATGCTTGTGAATGCATTTAGAGTCCATCCTTATAATCCAAATAATTTCTCCATTTTAGTATCCTAAAACAATTACTTCTGTAAAATATTTGCCATATAAAGTAATCTCCAGCTGGGCACAGTGGCTCACACCTGTAATCCCAGGCCGAGGCAGGTGGATCACTCAAAGTCAGGAGTTCAAGATGAGCCTGGCCAACAGGGTGAAATTTCTCCTGATTTTTCTTCATATGCTCCTGATTTTTCACCCTCCTCACTGGCTCCTTCTTTCCTTTTTTGGATCCATCCCTTTGTTTTGTATTTTTAGTAGTCTCTAGTAAAAATAAAAAAAATTAGCCAGGCATGATGGCACAGGCCTATAATCCCAGCTACTTGGGAGGCTGCTGCAGGAGAATTGCTTGAACCCGGGAGGCAGAGGTTGCAGTGAGCCAAGACTGCACTACTATACACCAGCCTGAGTGACACAGCAAGACTCCATCTAAAAAAAAATTAAAATTAATCTCCATATGTTCCAGGAATGAGGACATACACATCTATCTTTTCCAGGACTATTTTTAATCCTACAATACCACCATCTCTCACCTGATCTATGACTACATCTTCCTAATAGATTTGCCTCCTACTTTAACTTGTACCCTCACAAAGCAGGGAAGATTTCCTCAAAGAGCAAATCTTTTGCTTAAAACCTGTGAGTGGTCTCTAGGGCAATCTAAAACCCTTATCATGGCCTCAAGGCCCTACTTAATCTGGCCTTTGGCTACTTCCCACTTTGTCCTAGCCACTTCCACCTTTTTGCTATTTCTCAAGTGTGCCAAGTATGCTGGAGGGAGTTCTTTTGTCTCTGGAGCACTCAATCCCCCCCACTACCCTGTGCCCCAACCCTATCCCCCAGCCCACCACCTAGCTCTTCATCCATTTGCTCTCTTCTTGTCATGTAAATCTTGGCTATAAGATCACTCACTCAGCTATAAAATCACCTACTCAGTCATTCTCTACTTCACTGTGCCCTGTTGTATTATCTTCATGGCACTTACTCTCTGAAATCATCTCAGGGGCTTGTGTGTTTGTCATTGGTATGATTGTTAACTAGCCCAGCCTTCTCTGCAGCCTAAATATCTCAAATGACAGGGTGTCCAAACATGAACACCCTTAGGATAAGCCCAGTGTGTCCTGTCCATGTTCCTTTTGATTTGTGGTATCAGTGACTCAACATACTGGCCTGACTAGTGTAAGGTAGGAAGGAAGATGTCCCAGTTACTTTACTTATTAATGAAAGTGTAACTTTTCCAGCATCAAAAGAGCAGGACTCCATAGAGAACAAACTTTATCCTTTCCTTATGGTCCCTTAATAGATATCTGCAAAATATCTAATGGACCATAAGGAAAGCAAATGGACCCAGGGATGAAGTCTTGTCATTCTTGGTTACTCTTAGAATGTTGGGTCTCACTTTGAGACCCAAGAACATTATTGGCTCACTTGGCTTGATCTTGTTTAAAATAATAAAACAAAATTACTGCTGATGCCCAGTTCTTCAATAACCCTCTCCAAAGAAACCTCTCAGCCTCTCTTTAATTTTTTATATCATCCAGGTAAGGAATGAGCCAACTCTCTCAAAAACAGTCACCAACCCCTTTCTTCGTAAGTGCTGCAGAGGAATGCTAACATTTTTAGAAGGGGTTCTCTGTAAACATCGGTTTTCTGCTGTTAGTGACCTCACTGCAGTCTGAGACCTTGAATTCCATCTTAGCATCCCATTATAAAGGCTAAGATTAAATGTGATGTATTTGTACTTTTGTCAGTGTTGAGCTACACAGTTTACAGACTGCTGAAACTGCCAATTCCTTTTTACACATCAAAGAGTCCATGTGGAGGATATATTTATCTTCATAACATTTATTTTTCCTGGACTACACATGGCACCATAGCCAAGTCTAGTATTGCTGTACCCTCTGAACTTTTAGTATCTTCTCTCCAAAGAGAAAAACTACTTTCCACTCCCTGGGCCCAAGGAGGAATGAGCCAAATTGCTCCAGAATTTGAGTCAACCCACTGCTCTCAAATCCTGAGATGTATTCCCTGTGGGAAAAGGAACATGCCTTCAGGACTCTGTGCCCCAAATTTCACAAGCCCCACAGACACCCTCGCCCAGCCCAGGCTCCAAGTATTTGCACAAATCCTCCCTCTTTCTCAGCCTGCATCCTCTCAGTGACTGGTATCTTCTTCCTCCAGCCAGTCATTATTGCTGGGAGTGCAATTCCGTTTTTCCCCACCCCCTCACCCCCACCCCCGCTCCATCCCCCAGTCCACCACCCAGCTCTTTAACTTGTACCCTCACAAAGCAGGGAAGATTTCCTCAAAGAGCAAATCTTTTGCTTAAAACCTGTGATTGCTCTCTAGTGGAGTCCAAAACCCTTATCTTATGCCCAAGGCAGGAAATAAGAGGACTATGGTGCCATGTTTAGTCCAGGAAAAACAAATGTTATGAAGATAAATATGTCCTCCACATAGACCCTTTTATGTGTAAAAAGGAATTGGCAGTTTCAGCAGTCTGTAAACTGTGTGGCTCAACAGTGACGAAAGTACAAATAGCTCACATTTAATCTCAGCTGTTGGAATGGGATGCTAAGATGAAATTCAAGGTCTCAGACTGCAGTGAGGTCACTAAAGCAGAGAACCTCTCCTAAGAATGACAGCTGATGGTGATGCCTCTACTTGAGTCTGATCAGGCCCTCATGTGGCTGACCTGGGCCCTCTGTGATGCCATGTGGCTGAGGCAGGATAGGGTGGTATATAAGACATACGGTTGCCCTTGATCCTGGCTGGCCCAGCTGCCTGGGCTGGTTCTGTTAGCGTTGGCCCTGGGCCGGAGAGCAGAGGATGAGGAGCAGGAAGCTAGCCAGGAGACTCATCGTGGGAAATTCAGCGTCTGCAGCGGTGCTGGCCGCTGCGAGCCTGCAACGCCGGCCTTGGAGGAACATATTGCTCCTAATGCTGAAGCAGCAGCTGTCCAACCTCGCTGTGGTTTGTGCTGATGGCAGCGGCAGCCAGTCTAGAGTTGCTACTGCCAGATGCTGACTGCAGGGGGGGAGGGGGCCTGCTCCACAAAGCAAGTGGGAGCTGGGACATGCAGAAGCCCCGCCCCCTTCTGAGTTGACTGGGTAGGAGCTGGGCGCTCCCTGGGTGCAGCTGCTGTCGCCCAGCTGTGGCTGTGGACCAAGGCCTCCCTGTGCTTTTGGGGGCCAGGAGCAGCCAGAAGCCCCGCCCTCCCAGGGACAGCTACTGCTACTCAAGCATGTGGCTGCAGACTTGTCACTCTCCAGGGGCTGGGAAGGCCCCCTTGACCGCGGCAGGCTCCGAAATGCCTGCTTCTGCTGCCTGGTCTCTGACCGCTCCAGGTGCCAGCTCCACGGGCTCTGAAATGTCGGATCCCACTCCTAGCGTCTCCCTGCTCCCACAGTGCCCACTCTAACCTCAGAGCAAAGTTGAGGCCAAGGATGGCGCTATTGCAACCCCGCCGGATGTGCGCACACTCGGGCAGCGCTGACATGCCAGTCCCCTGCTGCCTCGGCTCCCTCAGGACTTTGGGCGCCAATGAGCCCAGGAGGGGCAGGCCAGCACTGGCCTGCAGGTGCCCCTCAGCACGAACAGCCTGGGTGCTCTAATGTTCCTTCTGTTTTACTTCCTCCCCCGGCCCCACGCCAGGATGGAGTGTCACTCTTGTTACCCAGGCTGGAGTGCAATGGTGCAATCTCGACTCACTGCAACCTCCGCCTCCTGGTTCAGGTGATTCTCCTGCCTCAGCCTCCGGAGTAGCTGAGATTACAGGCGCATGTCACCACACCTGGCTAATTTTTGCATTTTTAGTAGAGACGGGGTTTCACCATGTTAGTCAGGCTGGCCTCCCAAAGTGCTGAGATTACAGGCATGAACCACCGCACCCGGCCTCTGTTTTACTTCTAACTGCTCTTCCTCCCCCTTCTCTGTAACTCTCTCATTGCATAATTTTGCCCCCTCTTTCCTTCATCTACTTCCCTTTTCTTTGCCTCATCTCATTTCCTCCCTCTGTACCTAGAAAGTTTTGCATTTGGGCTAAAAAATGAAGCCAACCATTTCTCTTCACCCATCTGCCAGCATTAAGCTTCTAATACAGAAGAATTAGTGAGCTTCCAACAATTTGAAGACCTTTCTTCTAGTTCTATTCTTGTTGCATCCCCCTCCTGTTTAGTCCATTCACCAGACTATATTTGGGCTATTCCCTAGCTTTCTCTCTGTCCTTCCATTCACCAGGACTTGGTTGATCTTACCCTCTTCACACTGCTCATTCAGCTGGTTAGAAATGAAGCCCTTCGCACCAGTAAGAACTGGGAAACATGGTTGGAACTAAGTAATTCTTCTTCTCCCCTTCCCTCATTATCAGTCTTCAGTTCACTCTATCCAGGAGCACCTAGAACAGCTTGTGACTAAACATCCCATTTGGACCCCTGAGCAGAGATTGTGATCCACTAGATTAGGGTCCTGGGCTTCAAGCCTGTATTTATTTCAAGGCTTTGGCCTCTATTTATACTTTCAGGGAGCGCATGCAGAGGCTAACCACACCGTGCTGTTTCCCCTGGGCCAGACCCTAATGACAGATGCTTTACCTTGAATACTAGATGGACAAGCCTTGATCACAAAGCATCACCTCTCCCCTGGACTCCAGAGGATTGTTCCTAACTGCTTACTTGACATATCTATTAGGTATCTCAAACTGGAAGGTTAAAAACTGAACTCTCCCTCATCCATAATTGGCCTCCCCTTAGTGAGTAAATGGTGAGTCTTTTCCTTATATTGCTAAGGCCAAAACATCCTTTTTGATGCTCATTTACTTCTTGCACATCAACAAATCCTGTTAGCTCTACCTGCAAAATAGACCCAGAATTCAAATCTTGCTCACCACCTGACCTGCTGCCATCTAGTGCAGACCAACGTGGCTTGCGGCAGGCACCAAGCCCTCTCACTCAGTTTCAGCCATATTGTCTGTTCTGCATTCCTTGTTGGCCTTTTCATTTGCTCTTCTCTTTCCCTGGAGCCCTCTTCCCTCAGATATTTTTCTCTGGTCACTCCTTGACTCTCTTTAAATTTCTGCTCAAATGCCACATAGTGAGAGATTTTCTGAGCCACCGGCATCTCTCCCTAACCTCTTTCTCTGCATTATTTTTCTCAACAGTACTTATCATCACTCATTCCCAACAAATAATTATTTTATTTATTCTGGGTCTTTCTCTGCTGGAATGTGAGCATCTTGAAGACAGATACTTGTTTTATTCTCTGCTGCATCCTGGTCCATGGGGCTCAGCTAGAGTAAGGGAGTTTTCTGGGCAAGGCAAAATGAACAAAGACAGATCAAGTCCCTTTAGGAAAACACACCAAGCTTCCTGGGGGATATGGAGACAGGGAGGTGAGGTCAGGCAGGCCAGAATGGACTGAAGGCCACACAGGCCACCAGAAGCATTAGGATGTCAGGGTGTTGGAAAACAACCCTCCTCCAGTATTTACTTTCTCCCTTCAGACAGGACTCCAAAGTGATTAAAAAAAAACTGCCCACCTTAGGGATAGAACAAGATGACAGAAAAGGAGTCTTTATTTCTTTCTTTCTTTTTGAGAAAGAATCTCACTCTGTCACCCAGGCTTGATTGCAATGGTGAGATCCTGGCTCACTGCAACCTCCTCCCAGGTTCAAGCAATTCTCCTGCCTCAGTTTCCTGAGTAGGTGGAATTACGGTCGTCTGCCACTATACCCAGCTAATATTTTGTATTTTTAATCAAGATGGGGTTTCACTATGTTGGCCAGGCTGGTCTTGAACTCCTGACCTCAGTTGATCCACCTGTATTGGCCTCCCAAAGTGCTGGGATTACAGGCGTGAGCCACCATGCCCAGCCCAGGATTTTCCATTTCCTATCCCCCTGTAGATACATCAGTCTGAACTACTATTCACAAATAAAAACATTTTCACAAGAAGTAAGGAAACCAGATGAGAGACCACAGTGCCTGGGTGTGGCAAAGAAGTAAGAAGAGTGGCCCTGGCTGTGCGTGGTGGGTCAGGCCTGAGCACTTTGGAAGGCTGAAGAAGGTAGATTTGTTGAGTTGAGGAGTTCAAGAAAAGCCTGGGCAATAAAGTGACACTCCATGTCTACAAAAAAAACAAAAAATTAGCTAGGTGTGGTGATGTGCGCTTGTAGTTCCAGCTACTCAAAAGGCTGAGGTGGGACGATGGCTTGAGAATGGGAGGCAGAGGTTGCAGTAAGCCAACATTGTACCACTGTACTCCAGCCTGGGTGACAGAGCCAGACACTGTAAACACACACGCACACAAGGAAAAGGGGCATTGAAGATGGTAGGAAGGACAGTTTTACATTACCTACATCACCCTTCAACATCAGGCAGCAGAGCAGAGAGAGATACCTTCTACTTGGAGAAAGAGAGAAGTGAGCACTGGATTTTGCCTTGGACCCTAACTCTGGGCCCACGCCAGTCAAACCCAGCTCCAGGCAGGCCCCCATATCCCCAGACTCTTAGGCCAGTATCTGAGGTATGAGCCTTCAAGTTTGCCTGGCCCCAGGCTGGATCCTCCATCCCCAGGTTCCAGGCCAGTGACTCAGTCTCTGGCCTCTGAGCCCACTCCAGCACCAGGCCAGCACCAGTGGCATAGGGCTTCAAGCTCACCCCAGCACCAGTCCAGGCCCTACAGACTCAGTCTCCAGCCACACCCCAGGGTCAGGCTGACCCCAGTAACCCAAGGTCCCAGGCCTGCCTCCGCAGCTCCAGGCTTCAGGCCCACCCTAGAGCCAAGTTAGCACATCTAGCCTCAGGCACCAGGCCAACATCCTCAGGCCTTAAAGACTTAGTCTCCAAAGTAGCACACACACACCCCCTTACCTTCAGGCCAGCCCCTGTGGATCCAACTACCTGGGAAGTACATATAATCTTAGGCTCCAGTGGAGTTGAGGGCCAGGCCAGTCTCTGTGGACTGAGGACCCAGTGATAACTGCTGTAGATTCAGGCTCTAAGCCTCTGTGAACTCAGGACATAGGTTCACTCCTGCGGACTCAGGTTCCAGAAGACACAGACTCCAGGCCTATCTCAGTACCTGGCTGGTCCCTGCAGACTCAGGCTGAGGGTCCACTCCAGTGTTAAGTCAGCCCTTGTAGACCTGGGATTCAGGCTCACCACCAGGGACACAGGTTCTAGGTCCACCACAGCAGATCCAATCAACAGGTTCATCCTACTGGATCCCGCCTTCAGACCTGCCTGCCTACTCATCCAGGCACTAGAGCAGCCAACCTGAGGACTTAAGTAGCAAGCTCACCTATTGGCCAGAACAGGTGGCCTGCCCAGAATTTCTGGACAGGCTTGATTGATAAAGGCTGTTTTCAGGTAATCAAGTCTTCAAAGACTGGAATAAGTAGCTAGTTCTTCAAATGTGCACACACCAATGCATGGCAGAATCAAGAACAATCAGAAGAATACCTCACCAAAGGGACAAAATGAAGCACCGGTGACTGACTCTAAAAAGACGGAGATGTTGGTCAGGCGTGCTGGCTCACACCTGTAATCCCAGCATTTTGGGAGGCCTAGGCAGGTGGATCACATGAGATCAGGAGTTCGAGACCAGCCTAGCCAACGCGGCGAAAGCCCGTCTCCACTTAGAAAAAAAATTAGCCCGTTGTGGTGGTGCATGCCTGTAATCCCAGTTACTTGGGAGGCTGAGGCAGGAAAATTGGTTGAACCCGGGAGGCGGAGGTTGCAGTGAGCCGAGATAGCGCCACTGCACTCCAGCCTCGGCAACAAAATCAAATCTCCTTCTGAAAAAAAAAACAAAGATACTACCTTCCATCTGTTAGAAAGGCTTTTATGAGAAAGATGACAGACAGCACTGGTGAGGAGGAGGAGAAAAGGGAGCTCTTGCGCACTGTTGGTGGGAATGTAAACTGGTACAGCTATTACGGAAAACGGTATGGAAGCGCCTCATAAAACGCAAACAGAATCACCATGTGAGCCAGCACTCCCACTGCTGGGCAGATACCCGAAGTCACTGAAATCATGTTGGGGAGGCGTCTGCGCTCACGTCTGCTGCAGCGTTATTCACAACGGGTAAGACTTGGAAACAACCATAATACCCGTCGAGGATGAACGGTGAATGCACATCTGTCATTTGTGACCACGTGGGTGACTCCAGGGCGCCTTAGGCCGCATGAAATACGCTCTGCGGGGCGCGCTGCTGTTTCCGACTGGCTAACTGCGGTGTGGACGGAACCGGACTTCCCGAACCTCCCACCCGCCGTGCTCGCCGACCGCAGCTGCTGGACCCGTGGAGGAAGCGGTGGGCCTTGCGGGCAGGGTACCCGCAGGAACCATGAAGCAGAAAGCCGCTATAATGACGACGATAATGAAGAAAACAGAAGCGTCCACTGTCACTCTGCGGCAGGCGTTTTTCCAGCTACCTTCCAAGTAGTAACTACTGCCGAGTTTCCCCTGCGAGGGCCGGAACATGAGGCGGCAGCGTCTGCTTCGCCTTCCTCACGCATCTCCCGGCGTTGGCGCACGCGCACAACGCACGGTCCTTAGCCTCGGTTCTGGCCGGTAGAGCGCTCCGGGCCGCTCCAGGCTGCCCTGCAGTCGCGGCTTCTCCAGAGCTCCGCGGGGAACTGGAGGCGCTGTAGCGTCGCATCCAGTCAGGAGGAGGCCCACGGCCGCGTCGCTGGTGTGACGCGGCGGGCAGGCGCCGGGAACGCAGACATTAGAAGTGAGAGGCGCTTTGCTTTCGAGTGTCAGGATGGCCGAGTGGTCTAAGGCGCCAGACTCAAGGTGAGAACCTTGCCTACGGGTGTTCTGGTCTCCGGATGGAGGCGTGGGTTCGAATCCCACTTCTGACACAGCCGTTTTATTAATATTTTCTTCCCCTTAAGAAACCCTAGAATTTTCCTAGAGCCCGTTGGCATTTTATTGTCTTCTCCAGGAAGACTGTTACAACTAGACTCAACTCGTCTTTGCTGCCTGGTTTTTCCTATCTGCGGCAGCGACAGAGCTATTTACCAAGGAGACAGAAGGGCTGTCAGCATCTTCCCAAATGTCGCCAGAAAAAGGCATCCAATCACATGTCTGTATAGGCTATACGTCACAGGATGTTTATTTAGTATGGTATGTTGCCACAGCAGTCACTGTGTCTTCCCTGGTGGTCTAGTGGTTAGGATTCGGCGCTCTCACCGCCGCGGCCCGGGTTCGATTCCCGGTCAGGGAAGTTGCTTTTTTTTTTTTTCTTTTTTTTAAAGAAACAGAATTTTCTGGTGGAGCCAGGGTAACTCATCGGCAGTGTTCCTAGAGTTAGCTGTGACTTGACTTTTAAACAAAGGTTAAAATGCATCCGATATCCTCATTTTGCAGAGTAGTTACCTGAGATGAACTCAGTACTAAGGTTTATCAGCGCCAGCTATGTAATCAATATGTTTACTCACGATATCTTAAGAACGGTGAAAGAATGCCAGCAGCACAAAACGATCCAAAAAGATGGGCTTGGGGATGCCAGAAATGCCTGGTCTTAAAATTATATCACAGACTTCAAAGTCTCCCTAGGTGTCTGAAGGTCATTAGAATGGCACCTGTTGCCTAGAGGGGCGGGTCAGGGCGGGTCTTAGCTCCTTCACAACGCTTGGGTAGTTGCCGCTATGGAAAGAAATCAGATACTTCTCTGATTTCTTTCTCACCCCAGCATCTATCGTTTCATTTTTTAAACAAGTCGAGATAATTGAAATAATGCCACAACCAACCCCCGTTTCTCTTTACCTGCAATGAACACTGGTTAATATTTTGTCACATTCTCTCTCTCTCTGTCTCTTGCAAGGTAGGTAGGTAGGTAGGTAGGTAGGTAGGTAGATGATAGAGATAGGTATACATTCCCTATTCCATTTAAAAGTTGAAATCTGTAAAACTGTCCTCCCCACTTGAAAGTTGCAGACATAACATTATCCATGCCACACCTAAGAAAATTGACATTAATATCTATCATCTGCTAGTCTACATTAGAATTCTACCTAATTGTCCTTAAAATGTCTTTTATAGCTGCTTTTAGTTTGTATTCTAAAATTTTTATAGCCCATTTTTTTAAATAATTGGGAAGCCTGTGAAAAATATTTTAATAATGAAAACCTCCTAAATCACATTTAAGTTGTATCTTCTTAACATTTTATAATATTATGAGCCTATACACCTAATTTGTTATTGTTTTCCAAAGTTTTGTTTCTCTCTGGGTACCTTTCTCAGATATCTAGGCCAAGGCTGTGTTATCACACACTCTACACGAACAGATAGAACCAGGTCCACGCACATCTGTGCTTTCCACAGTGTTTGAAATCAAATAGGCCTATTTTAACTTCCTGAATTTCTGCTTCTTGTACTGAAATGACTAGTTTGAAATTATTCCAATTGCTGCAAATATTTATAGCAGTTTTCTTAAATAATATTTATCTTGCGGTGGTAAGTTTGGTAAAATGAGCTTTTTGTCATATTCTTGGCTCTAGAACTGTATGTGCATGAATATATGTGACTTTAAACTGTTCTTTTATCAAAAATATTTTGACTCTTCTAGATGTTGATTTGTAAATTGATCTTAATAGGTTAATTAGAATGGGTTCTAAAAATTTAGCTGGAGGGTTTGTTATTCCTTTGGTCCACTGTGTTTTCCAGTGATGTGTCGTTAAGCATTCCAGCACCTTCTGTCAATTACACAAGGTCCAGGGTCCCATCATTTAACCCTGGATTTTATAAAAGAGATGTCTTTAGCTATAAATATAGGTAAATGCAGTCTAGTCTTGTTATATTTTGGTAAATAGGGAGTTGAGCTGACCATGTAACCCTATTCCATGACCCACTAGATGGTTGGTTCATGGAGAAAAACTAATTTGACATACCCGGGTCTGTTTTTTGTGACTTTATACATATTTATTTTAGTTCCTAGTGTTTCCCACCAGTCAATTGATTTAAATTGTATGCTGTCTCTACATCTTCGAAATGAAAGTTTGGATCATTCTGAATTTTCATTGGGCACATTGGAAAAACAACTTGATTTTGTAAATATTTGCTTTTTCTAGTAAATTTGTCTAATATAGTCATATTTCTTATTTCTTTTTATGTAAAGAATGTGCTAATAAGGCTGGGCACAGTGGCTTGTATCTGTAATCCCAGCACTTTGGGAGGCTGAGGTGGTCAGATCATGAGGTCAGGAGATCGAAACCATCCTGGTGAAACCCCGTGTCTACTAAAAATACAAAAATTAGCCTGGTGTGGTGGTGCACACCTGTAATCCCAGCTACTTGGGAGGCTGAGGCAAGAGAATCACTTGAACTGAGGAGGCAGAGGCTGCAGTGAGCAGAGATTGAGACAGTACACTCCAGCCTGGGTGACAGAGTGAGATTCCGTCTCAACAAAAAAGGAAGTGCTAATAATCTCTGTTGTTTTGTATGTGGTTGCAAATGGTTCAAATACTAGAAATACTAGGGTGAGTTAGATAATAGCAGATTATAGGTCTCTAGTTTGTGAGTACATGTGAATATTAATTGTCCCCACTTTGTTTGGTTGTAATTCATTAAAACAATACTTGTATCCAGTGGTGTCCAGGACCACCATGAGTTTCTAGAAGATTTTGACCTCCAGCAAACAATAAATCTAGTAGGAATTTTGTAGGTGGTTGTAGCTACTGTGATCAGGAATTGGTACAGCTTTCATTGTCGTGTCCAAAATGAGCCTGTTTTAGTGCTACATTTCATCACAGAGTGAAATCTTCAGTTATGATGACATATCTGCCTACATTTTCTATAGTCTTTGCCTAAACGTAGTTTGGATATACTGTAGCCAAGTTTGCCGTGGCTCACTGCAGCCTCAACCTCTGAGGCTCAAGTGATCCTCCAACCTCAGCCTCCCAAGCGGCTGGGACTACAGGCACGCACACGAATTTACTTAATATGTATACACAGGAGACTTCAGAATAAAGACCCAGCCTCCCAATGCCATACAGAAGCTTATATACCATCTTAACAGAAATAATGGGGGCTTGGATCCTGGTAAAACAGCTTATGGGAGGGGGAGAAGAAGAATTCTGTTAAAGGAAAATAAATGATTACTGGGGAGAATGATTGGATGAGGGAACAGAAGTTAACTTGGAAATAGTTTGCTTTGGAAATTACATAATGCTTGGATACAGTCATTATCTTGAGAAAGGGTGTGTTAATATGATGGCTAATATAGGGCCAATGAGAAAGGTGATAAGACCAGCTGAGAAACTACACAAATTTGTAGCCATGTTGTCTCAAGTGAGTAAAGTATTTAATTATTCTAGTAATGGCTAGAAGTGATGTTGACGTTAAAAATAGAGACCAGGCGCAGTGACTCACACCTGTAATCCCAGCATTTTGGGAGGCCAAGTCAGGCAGATCACCTGAGGTCAGGAGCTGGAGACTAGCCTGGCCAACATGGTGAAACCCCGTCTTTACTACAAATACAAAAATTACCTGGGTATGGTGGCATGCACCTGTAGTCCCAGCTACCTGGGAGGCTGAGGCAGGAGAATTGCTTGAACCTGGGAGGTGGAGATTTCAGTGAGCCGATATCACGCCACTGCACTCCAGCCTGGCAACAAAGCAAGACTCCGTCTGAAAAAACAAACAAACAAACGAACTGGGGTTAGTGGCAAGGAAAATCGGATTGAAATACAATTCCCATTAATTTTATGGAGAATATTAATGGAATGACTAAATGAAAGTGTAGCACCAATATTGCAGAAAGTGTGATAACAAATCTAGGTCTAGTGAGAATTTGGA